CCTTGAGGTCAGCCCTTCTGTCCAGAGGGCAGTCCAACCCTACTGAGCCTGGAGCTCTTAGCTAAGAACAGACATGGAAGGAAAAGATAAGGAGAAAACCTTCCCTCCCATGAGAAAGGAGGTCACATGATTAAGCAGGCACAGGAAAAAACATCAGAAGGAGCTATTTAAAGGAGAAGGAAGACAAGAGGCATCGAATCAGGTTTAGGATTACAGGTCCCAGGAAGGAGTAAAATCCATGGGTAAGACTGCACTGGCTCTTTGCGCCATTAAATGTACATCCATAACCCACTTTGAGATGCTGAGCTTCTGCAAGTTCCCCACCACCACCACACACTCCTTTGTCTTCTCATTGCTTTCCTTGCCAAGTTCATGCCCAATATCCTAGGGCCTTGGCAAATTTGAGTCTTCATAGTTTTAGCTACTAATTTGAGACAATGTTGAATAAATAACCCAGGTCCCCCAAAGAAGGCCTCATAGGCTGTTGAGAATGTTTCCATTCTTATATGTCACCAGCTCTGAGGCCCAAATTAAAGTGCAGATCAAACTCAATCCAAAATTACTCTATTTACCAGTTCATTTTTGCTCTGGAGAACTGGACTGCCTGTTCCCTTTCTTGTGTAACTGGCACTGTAACCCTTTGTTTCAAATAAGCAAAATAAATGTTTACATTAAAAGGGAGCTCCTGAGCTAGACCATCTTATCCCTATGTAGTAAGCCCTGGTAAATCAGAAACTTCTGAGGCACAAATGCTATAGTCCAGACTGTTGGTAAAATATAAAAAATGTACACTTGGTTTTTACCTATCCAGTGATCCAGATCTCAAGAACTACATTCACATATAGACATTCCATGTGGCTGAAATGCTATTGGGAGTCAACTGAGCATGATTTTCTATGCATATAGTAGGTATGAAAATATAGCATCGTATTACAAAACTCTCCTATATCCATTATATCATCAGTGACCCTCATGAAAACCCTGTGAAATGAATAGGGTGATTATTATACTACAGTGGTCTATGGAAGTGTCAGGAAAAGGCTTTGAAATTTCCAAATAAGGACTCTTGGCATAACTAATTTTTTTCCTTGTAATTGTTTTCTCTCTCTCTCCCTCCTTTCCTCCCTCCCTACGTTAGGGATTGAATCCAGAGCTTTGTGTGTGTTAAGCAAGCACTGTACCACTGAGCTACAAACCCAGCCCTGTGTATTTTCTCAACTTGGATATAAATCACAAACTTCCATTTGTTGCACCAAAATTATTGATATGCTCTCTACAGAAGTTGAAATAATTTACATACCACCTTGATTAAAATCTTAAATCATGTTAAATCAAGTTAAATAGGTTGTCAGTGGAGAGCTGAGATTAAGCATAGACCAAGAAAATAATCCTATTTGTTTTCTGAGTTATGAGTAAATGAATACTATTATCTTAATAACACAGTCAATTACATGAAGAAGCACAGGGAAATATATGCTGTCAAACTTCTGTTCTCAAATATCAAGAGTTGAACAAAGACTGGGTGCAGTGGCGCATGCCTATAATCCCAGTGGCCAAGGCAGGAAGATCCCAAGTTCAATGCCAGCCTCAGCAACTTAGCAAGGCCCTGAGCAACCTAGCAAGACCCTGTCTCTAAATAAAACATAAAAAGGTTTGGGCATGTAGCTCAGGGGTTAAGCACCACCCCCCTTCAATCCCTGGAAGCAAAAAAAAAAAAAAAAAAAAAGAGTTGAACAAAAATGTAAAAAACTGATGAGTGAAATGAGATTGAGTAAAATATAGATAATATTTGGGGGATGTATGGAAGAGAAGGCATGTAATTGTGTTAATGAAGCAAAACACAGAACTATAATAGTTTACAAAATGTCCTGTCATCAAAGTATAATGCAGTCTTTCTGTTGTTGAATGACTCAATATATCCTCCAGTATTTCCATAATTATCTTCAGGGTTCATAATTCTTTGGGTCGTATCTAGTAAATTATATTAAAGTTATATTAGGGGGCTGAGGATATAGCTCAGTTGGTAGAGTGCTTGCCTCACATGCACAAGGCCCTGGGTTCAATCCCCAGTACCACCACCACCACCAAAAAAAAAAAAAAAGCCACATCCCACAATAAAGATATACTACTTCTACTATATATTAGGGACTTCAAGAAGCAACATGCTACATCAAGAATGCACAAGGCCCTGGGTTCAATTCTCAGCACCACACAAAAAATCAATCAATCAATCAATCTTACTACCTTAGAAGTGGATAAGCTGGATAATTAAATAAAAAGTGGCATATCACTTTCCTACAACTTAAAGGTCTTTCTTACCCCTTCTTGGGAAAACAAGATTGAATACCTTCCTATATCTACAATTTTTTTCCCTTAGGAAAATGAAAAGTTTCAACAATGTCTAAGTGCTAAACAAGCTTTACCTTTGTTCCTAATTTACATAAGTGTCATTTCAAAGACAACACCCAAACAAAAAACATGACCTTTGTTTGGTCCTGGTACAGAGAAAGGGTTATTTTTTCACAAAGGTCAGTACAGCAACATCACAGTCACCCTATCAGATCTTAAAGGGGGATGCAAACAGAAGAGATGTCCAGTTTTTCTTAAGTTCCTAGAAATGGAACTGATAGGATGAGCAAGAGTCTGGCTTCCTTTGTCCTTTAGGTTTTAGGTCTCAAGGATGAATGGTGGAAGGATCAGCAAATAGAAAATACAAGGGATTTTGTTCACTGCTGTTTTTTCCAAAATCATTCTAGAATACTGAATAAATAAACTTGGAAAGTGAAAGCCTGAGTTTGAATCTTTATTCAGCTCTTTTTTTTTTTTTTGTGGGGTGCTGGGGATTGAACCCAGGACCTTGTGCATATGAGGCAAGCACTCTACCAACTGAGCTATATCCCCAGGTACCAGGGATTAAACTCAGGGGCCTGACCACTAAGCAACACCCCCAGCCCTTAGGTCTCACTGAATTGCTTAGAGCCTTGCTAAATTGCTGAGGCTGGCTTTGAGTTTGCAATCCTCTTGCGTTAGCCTCCAGAGTTGCTGGGATTACAGGTGTGCACCACCCCATCCAGCCTGTTCAGCTCCTTTCTAACTATGAGATTTTGGAGCAATCACCTAACAAAACTCAAGGGGTTACTGGATGATGAAAAGAACATATATTTCTTTAATAAAGTCCTGATCTTGGGTGTTTATTTATTTATTTATTTATTTTTATTTATTTTTTTTTAAAGAGAGAGTGAGAGAGGAGAGAGAGAGGAGAGAGTTGGGTGTTTATTATCTTCAGCCTATAGGGACCACGCACAATGATTTTAAAATGAGATTGCAAAAAACAAGCCTCACCATCATGCCAAAAGGAGACTCCACTTTGTAGAAGGCATCTTGCCTTAGGGCTCTCCAAGAGGTGCTTGTCTGTTCATGAAAGAACTTCTGGAACTCCATTTTGGAAGAGATCTGAAAGCTGCTATTTATGTGGTATTGCCTCAAACTGAGAATTTTCACAGATGAACAATTGAGGCCAATTTTATATGCTTAAATCTGAGGATGTGAAAATGGAATAAGTGAAAAATATGTGTGTTTTTCCAAATCATCTGTCTTAGGTTTTTTTTCCCTGCTGGTACTGGGGATCAGGCCCAGGACCTTGCACATGCTAGGCAAGTGCTCTACCATTGAGCTACATCCCCAGTCCCCCACCCCACCCCCCTTTTTTATTATTTTATTTTGAGACAGAGTCTCACTAAGTTGCCCAGGTTGGCCTTGAATTTGTGATCTTCCTGCCTCGGCTTCCCATGTAGCTGAGATTGCAGGTGTGTGCCTCCGTGACTGACTATTCTATTTTGTTTTGATTAGTGCAAACGTACAAAGAGTCACAAAATATACAACATCAATTCTTACCTTTCTTTGGTAAGATTCTTTGTGAATCTCTTGAATACTAGAAGTCTTTTCCCTCCAAAGAGGAGCACATGCTGAATGTGTGCACGCATACACACACAAACACACACATAAACACACCTAGGTGTGTGCACCTACGCACACCAACATACATACAAATGTTTTTAGGCAACAGAGTATTCCCTAACTCCTCTCAAAATCTACCAATGACTCAGATTAGGAACTACCAAACTATAGGATAAGTGCTTAGGTTTACATAGGGGTAGATGTAGCATATATACACACACGTACATATATATACATATATATCCAAATATCTAATGACTATTTAAATAATTAAGTCCTATACAGTACAATTTCCTCCTTACTGTGAAATATGAAAATGTCCAGGATCAAACTTCAGGATAGGGGTAAACGCATGTTTTGCATATTAAAGTGACAGATGCTGCTATAGTGTTCTGTAAACCACTATTTATTTGAAGCAGTTTCACAACTTCTATGTGTTTACAGCAGGGTTTAATTTAATATGATAACTTGGTTCAATGGGTATTGTAACCAATTTCTAGTGGACCCTGTGTCTTGGAAGGTAAGGTGACCAGCCAGGGAGTTCACTCATCTCTTAAACTAATAGTATAAAGTCAAACAATATTGCTTCCACAATCAACTGGTGCCTTTCTTAGCCTGTCTGTCTGTCCCAAGGGACACAGTATTACATCAAAGGCAGAATGACACAGCTTTGTAGTGGTTACCCTGATTTTTGAGATGAGTGATTTTTACCAAGAGCAAATTTTACAGTTTGACTAATAGCTTCATAGAGATTGCATACATAAAGGCATTTTAAAAATTACCAACAATAGACAATACACAGCTCACACTTGAAATTCAGAAAAACACTTGAAAGCAACACTTGCTACAGTATTTGCTAGACTATGAATTTTTCTTCTTTATTTGTGGTTCTGGAGATGGAACCCAGGGCCTTGTGCAAGCTAGGCATGCATTCCACCACTGAGTTACACCTGCCAGCCCTGCCTGAATTTTACTATTCTAATTGAGCTTTAGGAAAGAAAAAGGAACTAGGAAAAGAGATATTCTAAGGCCTAAGGAAATGTGGAACTTCAGTGTTTAAGTTATGATATGATGTCTTTAAAGTGCCCAGGGCAATGATAAAAAATATTCATATGCAAATATCTCCATTCAGTAAAAATCATGAATTTCAATAATTAAAGGCTTAGGACAATCAAAGGTTTTCTTTTTTGTCCTTCATCCTGACATTTCAACCCTGCCAGCAGTTTTCACTAGGGCAAATTAAGTTTTGATTGTCTGTATTTCTGAATTTAGGGGTGGAAAACACCCACAGAGGGCCAGATTCTCTCTCCAATTGGGAAAGTACTAGCATTTTATTGCCATAGTGCCCCTCTCTGTTTTGGTTCTTGTGTTATCAACTGAAAAACAGATCATTTCTTTTCCCCATTCTCTCTGATCTCCAGTTTTACATCCACTCCCTGAAACATACATTCGCTACAGTTTTTAGATGAGTTGTGGTGTCTTATTTTGTAGGTTCTCTCCAGTCTGCTACCATGCTACCTTCCCCTCCTGCTCCCATCCTTCCGGCGGCAATGTTAAGGCTCATGGTCATGATACCATTGAATGTGGCTTATGTGGAAACTGCCTCGGCAGGCTCAGGAAATCTCAGGGGACTTCTGCAGGGCCACAGTGGGAGATGGAACCTTTTAAACAAAGACGCTGAAGAGAGGGAATTCAGCCTGATTGGGCTGCAGCAGGTCGATCAGAAAGCACACGGTCCCGGAGAAGCCTTCATACAAGCTGTATATGCTTTCAAGGACCCGTGACCCGGCCTTGAATTCCTCGGTAAATAAGAATTGAGCAAACCTAAGAGGAGAAGAAGAGAAGAAGAAAATATGAACAATTACAACATCAGTGTTTCCATATTGGCCTTGCCTTCTTCCTCCTCTTCTGCTGAATTAAAGTTTTGTTTGGTATAGGCCATTGAACCCAATGGCACTTTACCACTGAGTCCCATCCCCAGCTGCCTTGATTTTGAGACAGGGTCTCCTTGCTAAGTTGTTGAGGCTGGCATTGCCACATCATTCTCTTTCCAGAGTTATGTAATTAAGTATTTTAAGAAAGACATTCTCTCTAAAAAAATTAAGAGGATCCGTTATATAATTGTTTTATGTTTCACAACAGATTGTGTTGGCAAGCAAATCCAACTATTTTCAGAGTCTGCAAAGTAAAGTACTTTGGTGTTTTCTGAGGATTTCGTTCCGTCTGTCATCCAATAATTAAAAGCAAAGAAGACAGATAAACTGACCTACTTTTATTTATCTTCAATAGAAGCAAACTGATATATTGCTGTTCTGTTAAAAACAAGTAAATATGCTGTTTCTGCAGGCATATTATTTCTGAGCTAGGATTCATTTATGTGTGACAGAGAGAAGAGACTGTGAAAATAAATGGGCAAGATTTTATACAATCTGTGCTTTGGGCAAACAAAGGAAGAAGATGAATGGGGAAAGGCAAGCAACCTTTTATAATGATGACATCAATAGCAGACTCAGCTACAAGACAGATTATGTTTAAGACACCCCCATTAAAAAAGCCACTGGCCTCTAAATTCTCTACGAAGGACCTTTTTTCTTTTGCTTATATTTGCCACAAATTCTATTCAGATTATGGATAGCAAACAACATTTTAAAAATCAATTTAGAGCTTTAACTTTCTTTTTTTTCTTTTTTGGTGTTGGGGATTGAATCCAGGGGTGCTTTACCACTGAGCTACATCCCCAGCCTTTTTTATTTTTTATTTTTTATTTTGACACAGGTTCTCACGAAGTTGCTTAGGGCCTCGAACTTGTGTTCCTCCTACCTCAGCCTCCTGGGTTGCTGGAATTACAGGCATGTGACATCATGCCCAGCTAGCAATTTACAGCTTTTAAAATGCTGTCATCTATGTTATTTATTCATTCGTTTATTTATTTTACTGACCTTCTCTACTCATTCTCATCAACAAAAATAATCAACAATTCAGAGTCTGGAACACACAGCTTGGTAAGACCTGAGAGCTGATATTGCCATAAATTTACATTATTGCTACTACACCAGGGGTCCTATGAAGAGTAATTACTTATTTTATCTTTTTAGAGCTCTTGGAATTATGGATGGTAGCTTAAAATAAATCAGCAGGGAGCACTGCATTTCTGTCTGGTACAATTTTTCTATCAACTGCTTTCTTGACTATGCAACAATTTTAAATGGAATTTTACATTCTAAACAAGTAGAATAATAAGGCATCCTTAAGAATTAATTCAAAATTTATGGTTATATAATAAAGATGGCATTGTGGTATAGTTTTGGAGAGGGTCTTCATCTTTTTAGTGCTATGGATCATTTGGCAGTCTGAATATCTCAAAAAAGCTTTCAAATGCATAAAATAAAATACATAAGATTACAAAGAAAATTAATATTATTAAAAACACCATAAGTGAAATATTTATCTTCTTTTTTCATCTTTCCTTTTGTGTGTGTGTGTGTCTGTGTGTGCTGGGAATCAAACCCAGGGCCTGGTGCATACTAAGTGCATGCTCTACCACTGAGCTACATACACCCTAAGTCCAAGTAAAAAAAAAGTAAAACCAAACCAAAGCTGTAATACAATAACATATGTATTCTTCATTAAAATATTAAACAACAAGATCTAGTAGGGGGTTTAATAATTTCTGACATTTCTAAGTAGTGATGAGAATAAAATCTATTTCACAATATCTGTAATAAGAGCAGTTTAACCCATTAAGTCCCAAGTCTTCAATTCTGTAACTATTTCAATGAAATTGGCATAGGTACAATAAAATGGGTTGGAAATAATTATCTATGCCTTATACATAACATGTATGTGTTTGTGTATATATGTAAACAAATATGTAGATGTATGTATACATATATGTATAGCATATGTATTTGTACACACATATACATATATAATCAAACATTATAATCAATCATCTATTACTTTTCTCAAAAGAACCCACCTCTAAAACTATAATTATTTCAAAGTTACCATAAGTGGTATACTTGTTGTCCAATTTAAATTTTTATAGGTGTTCCATATCTGGGATCATAGAGCAAAATGGCTTAATACAAGAATATATAGTATTTCTGCTACTGCTGATAATTCTGTGACTTATTGTCTATATTCTGATGGAAAGAAATCATTCATTTCAGTTTAAGATGTAATCTTTTTTCTTAAATAAGTTTACAAACTCCAGACTAAGAACACCTGGTATAGTAGAAAGAGAAGGAAAAAGCTTTGGAGTTGAGATAGATATACAAATTTGAGATAGATATGCATCCCTCTCCCGCCCCCCCTTTTTTTTTTTTTGGTACCAGGAATTAAACTCAGGGGCACATCCCCAGCCCTATTTTGCATTTTATTTAGAGTTAGTGTCTTACTGAGTTGCTTAGGGCCTTGCTTTTGCTGAAATCTGGCTTTGAACTTGCGATCCTCCTGCCTCAGCCTCCTGAGCTGCTGGGATTACAGCGTGTCCAGCAGATATGCACATTTCTTAAATTTAACCTAAAAATACTGAAACTGTATAGTGGCACAGAATTTTCTGAAGAGATTAAAGATATCATATACTACACATTATTAAAGTGATTATCACTTAATATTCTGCATTTGTTACTTAAAAATAATATGAAAATCATTTTCTCTGCTTTTCAAAACAATTTCTAAATGCCATGCAGCAATTCATAAGAGAACTAGCAACATATAAGAGCAGCAATTCCACTGTTTTTACATAATCATGCATTAACATTTCCGGAAAATGTTGTTGATATGAAAGTGAAAAGATGGTTTCAAAAATCTACCCAATGATGCAGAAATCAAATTAGCAAATTCATTTTTCTGAAACATTCTCAGTCAAAACAGAAGTCAGAATGGCAATTATGAAGCTGAAAAGAATGAGATTGAGAACATTACATACCAAAATATACTAATTATGACCAAATCTGAACAAAGAGGAAAATTCTTAGATCTATGAGTTATTATTATTAATAATAGGAAGATGGAAGATTATCTAATTAAGGATTTTTAAACTCTAGAAAATAACAAAATAGAAAAAAAAACAGGAGGTAACCAAAATACAGGCAGAAAGTAATAAAGTAGGAAGCAAAAGAGAAAAACAGAATTAATAAACAAAACCAAGAACAAGTTCCTTGAAAGGACGAATAAGATAGAAAAAAAATGATGGTGTGTCTGATCAAGAAGGAAAAGCACTCGGAATGAGAAAGAGTATAAAACCACAGATATGGGAAATTAAAAATATTACAGAACTATACGATTGAAGCTCTATGTAAAAAAATTTGAAAAATCCAATGAACTGATAGTTTTGTAGAAATATATTCACTATCATAAAAAAGAGATAGGCTGGGCGTGGTGGTGCACTCCTGCAATCCCAGCAGTTTGGGAGGTTGAGACAAGAGGATCTCATGTTTAAAACCAGCCTCAGCAACTTAGTAAGGCCCTAAGCAGCTTAGTGAGACCCTGTCTCAAAATAAACAAATAAATAAATGGGTCCAGGGGTGTAGCTCAGTGGTAAGGCATCCCAGGGTTCAATCTCCGATATAAAACAATAAACAAAAACTAAAATCATAATAATCAAAAGAATCCAACAAAACAAATTGTCCTAGTCTATTTGTTCAAATATCCTTGCTTTTATTTTTTTTTTAATATTTATTTTTTAGTTCTCGGTGAACACAACATCTTTGTTGGTATGTGGTGCTGAGGATCGAACCCGGGCCGCACGCATGCCAGGCGAGCGCGCTACTGCTTGAGCCACATCCCCAGCCCATATCCTTGCTTTTATGCTGATTTTTTTTTTCTTTTTAGGGATGCTTTCTGTCTTATCATCTTTATATTCTTTATATTCACTTCATATAATGAATATTGTGTCAGTTTATGACACTCCTTTATTCAAGGTAATCCAATGGATTCCCATATGACTCAGAGTAAAGGCCAAAGTCTGAGTGAAAGGTCCACGGCAACTAGCCTGTCTTTACAAACTCTCTGATCTAATCTCCTGGCTTTCTCCTGGTTCTCTCTACCACAGTGCCTTCCCTGTGATTCCACTAAGATGCCAAGTACACTTCACCTTAAGTCCCTTCAAGTTTTAATTTCCTCCACCTGTAGCGCTTACTTTCCACATTGATCTCCTGGCACCTAGCTTTTTGAGTAAAAGTCATTCAGTTCTTTTTTCCCCAGAAAAGTCCAGTGCCAATTTATCCAATATTCAATATTAAAATAAAACATAAAAGCTGGGAGCAGTGGCATACATCTGCTTGGAAGGCTGAGGCAGGAAGATCAAGAGTTCAAAGCTAGCCTCAGCAACTTAGAAAAAAGGCTCTAAGCAATTTAGCAAGACCTTGTCTCAAAGTAAAACATGAAAAAGGATTGGGGATATGGCTCAGTGATTAAGCACCCCTGAATTCAATCCCCGGTACCAAAAAAATAGCAAAACATAAAATATCCTTTATGATATATGCATGTGTGCGCTGAAGGAAAAATACTAAATATGTAAGTCCTCTGTTTGAAGCTCCATGTGCCACCCTGCCATGCTAAATTTGACAAATTGATTCTAAAATACATTTGAAGAATAAATGAGAGAGAGCAGCTAAGAAAACTTAAAAATAATAAATAATGAAATGTTGAACTAGATAAATGGGACAAAACAAAGTTCAGAAACAAAACCATATATTTATATACATTCAGTTTATGATCAAAGTGTAATTTCAAATTTTAAATGATGAGGGTAATTGATCAACAGATGCTATTGGAAAATTCTGCTTTTCAGTCAACAAAGATAGATACCCATTTAACACCATTTTTTAAAAGTAAGTTCTATGGTGGGAAGGGAATGGAACGGGCAGGGGGTTAGCAATGATGGTGGAATGTGATGGATATCATTATCCAAAGTACATGTATGAAGACATGAATTGGTGTGAACATACTTTATATACAGAGATATGAAAAAATTGTGTTCTATATATGTAATAAGAATTGTGATACATTCTACTGTCATGTTTTTAAAAAACAAAAGCAATTTATAAAAGTAAGTTCTAGCTAAATAAAAATATTAATGTGAGGTAATAAAACCATAAAGGTACTAATATCAGTGTAAGTTAATCCTTTGGAATCTTGGAATAGGAAAGGTATTATTTTGCTGCTGTTGTTTTTTTGTGTGTGTGGTGCTGGGGATCAAACCCTTGGCTTTATACATGTGAGGCATGCATCTACCAATTGAGCTATATCCCCAGCCCCTGGGAAAGGTGTTTTTAACCATAACACAAAGTCCAGGAGTCTTAAACGAAAGATGGACAACTTTAACAAGAAAAATACTTAAAACTTTGGTATGATGAAAGACCATGAACAAAGTTGAAAGAGAAATGATAAAGTAAAAAATATATTTACAGCACATTGAAAGTTACAGTCTTTACTATAAGCATTGCAGTAGGAAAAAATGGGGAAAGAATAAAGATGGGCTAGATATAGATCAAGAAATACTTAGGGAACTAATGATTTCAATTCTAAAATTTCTTCTATAGAAATGCATACACAAGTGCACAGAAATGTATATATTGAATATTTGGGGCAATTTTGTTTGTGTTAGTAAAGATTGTACATTTAGAGATTGGTTAAATTAATTATGGTATATCAATAATAAATAACAATATAGTTAGTTAAAGCAATGAGCTAGATCTATGCAAAATGAAATGAAATATGTCCCTGAAAAATTGTCCATTTAGGTGCTGGGGTTGTGGCTCAGTGGCAGAGCACTTGCCTAGCACGTCTGAGGCACTGGGCTCAATCCCTAACACCACATAAAAATAAACAAAATAAAGGTATCATGTCCATATACAACTAAAGATATTTTTTTAAAAATTGTTCACTTAAAATTATAAGTTGAAAGCAATATATATACTATTGTTGCACGTATGTAACAGCAGGAGCCTACTAAAATATACATAGGGCTGAGACTATAGTTTAGTGGCAGAGTGTGTGCTTATTATACAAAGTCCTGGGTGCCATTCCCAGCACCAAAAATAATATACACACACACAAGGAAAAAAAACACATACTCCCAGATATATAAGCATACATTTATGCACAGATGAAAGTCTGGAAGGATAAAACTCAATTTTGTAGTAATAACAATGGTGGAATACTTAATTGCAGTTACTATGTGCCAGGCATTGCTTTATATAAGTTTCACAGGTTAACTCATTTAAACTACCCAATTCTACTAGCCGGGCACAATGGCACATGCTTATATTCTCAGAAGCTCTGGAGGCTGAGGCAGGAGAATCGTGAGTTCAAAGCCAGCCTCAGCAAAAGCGAGGTACTAAGTAACTTAGTGAGACCCTGTCTCTAGATAAAATACAAAATATGGCTGGGGACATGGCTCAGTGGCTGAGTACCTCTGAGTTCAATCTCTGGTACCCCCACCTCTGCCAAAATAAATAAATAAACTACCCAATACTGCTGATTGTATTGGGTAGTAAAGATACAGTAGTAAAGATATAGTAAAGATTGTAACTCTGTCCATGTGCTGTAAATATATTTTTACTTTATCATTTCTCTTTCAACTTTGTTCATGGTCTTTCATCATACCCAAATTTTAAGAATTTTTTCTTGTTAAAGTTGTCCATCTTTCTTTTAAGATTCCTGGACTTTGTGTTATGGTTAAAAACACCTTTCCCAGGGGCTAGGGATATAGTTCAGTTGGTAGAGTGCTTGCCTTGCATGCACAAGGCACTATTTCCCATGTGTTGTGGCTGAAGAGCACAGGGCAAGTTAAATGTCTAGTTAAAGGTTACACAGCCAATATGATAATCATCAGGTGCATTCCTTTTGATGGAAATGTTCACAGAATAGCCCGGTGGCTATTCCTGAACTTCCACCGAGTGACAGCTCAGATGCAAGGGTATCAGACCACATGAGTGAGGATGAAAGGCTCCCAGGCTTAGAAGACCTAAGTGCCACACAGAAAATCAGTACCTTTTATAACAACTTATGGACATAGACTGCTCCAAGTCCCTTGAAGGGAATGCCAGTTTCATGCTACTTGGCATTCAGGGAAGTCTCTACTTATATTTTCTATCAGGTTATTTATACTTCATTCACAGACTCCTTGGTCCAATTTACTCAGTTTATCAGTAAGGGCTTACTTCTATTAAAGCAATGTTGTCCGTTATACAAGGGATGTTTTATCTTTATCAGGCTTTCAGGGAATAAACTATAAAGAACAACTTAGCATTATCTGTCAAAATTAAAAATACACTCATCTTTTGGTCCAGTAATTCCACTTCTAGGAATTTACCTTTTAGATATACCCATATGCATGCAAAATAATACAATACACACAAAAAATAACACACACTTGTTTATGCATGGAAAAAGTCTGGAAAGATAAAACTCAAATTGTAGTAATAACAGTGAATATTTACATTGCAATTATGAGGTTCTTGGCATTGTTATAAATGATTTTCCTGTGTACAAGGTTATTCATCATAGCACTATTTATAGTGCAAAATACTGGAAACAATCCAAATAAATATTTTTATTTTAATGACAATAAAATATTTAACAAAATGATTGAAGAAGTCCTTGATGTATTGATTTAGGATGTTTAGTAAGATAGCAAGGCACTATCATTTGTACAAAATAAAAAAAGGACAACATTTTACATATACTCCCATTTGCTTACATGTACACAGAATGTCCTTGGACAGATAACCAAGAAAATGATAATAGTGTCAGGGAAGTCAATTAAATGGCTGGAGGGCAGTGTTGATGTAATTCTTTTTGTACTTTTAAAACTATGTGACTGTGTTACCTATTCAGAAAATTAAAAAGATTAAAATTAAAAAAAAAAAACATAAGAAGAATGGCCGACCTTTGGGCACGGTAGATGTATTTTGAGTTTCCGGTCAGCCGGTACAGCAGCAGGAACACGTAGGCACTGCCAGCGACACCATGGCAAATCCCCGGTCCCTTCTTCAGCAGGCCCTTCTGCCATGTGAGCTCCCCACAACGGATACATGTGTCCAGGTACTGTGGTTTCTTGGAAACCAGATAAGCTTTGGCAAACAGATAGGCAATTCCTGTGAAAACATCAAAGACATAAGAGGTGACTTTCAGAGCTTATGCTATAGAGCAGAACTTCTCCAATATAAAAGCTTTACAAATCACCACACAGATTCTAACACAGTAGGTCTGAGATACTACATCTCTCTTTCTTCTGTGTTGGGGATGGAACCCAGTGTCTCAAGCATGCTAGGCAAGCGTTCTATTACTAAACTACATCCTTAACCTGAGATACTGCATTTATAACGAGCATCCTTCCAGGGACCGCACTTTGAGTAGCAAGGCTATAGAATGCTCTTTAAGGGAGTCTTCTTTTTTCCCCTTGTGGGATTTAGCTTAAGTTTTAAAAATTATATTATAGGGTTGGTCCCTAGAGAAAGAGCAATGTTTTAATCGAAGCAAATCAATTGATCAAATCCATAACTTAGTTTACAAATGGCTTAATATTTAATGATGCACGTACTCTGATAGGCATTATGCACATCTGGCTATTTGGAAGCGCTGTTTGTACAGCTTACCCATAGAAGGTCAGAATATGCAATGTTTAAGTACTTACAACAGTAAACCTTTTCTTAAGAGCAAAACTGGGAGTCTTTCCAAGAACAACAAGCTCACAAAAAACCTAAGCCAAGACTTCTACTCCAGCTGTGATCTGAGACCTTCCCAACTTCATTGTTCAAAGGAAAGAAATGTTCCTTCAAAACTTGTCAACAAAGGTAGTATCAAAGGCAGGAACAGAAACAAGAGAAGCAACAGCTATTAATAGAAATGTTTTCCCCCAGGTTCCAAGTTCTGGGTGCTTATATTCAGAGAGGAGGTTAGAAATTGAGTTACTGAGCATTCTTCCTTCTGCATAGCCTACCTGCACCCTAGATAAAAAGTGGGTAAGGGCCGGGGGTGTAGCTCAGTGGTAGTACTTGCTTAGCATGTCAGAGACCCTGGGTTCAACCTCCAGCAGTAGCAGCAGCAGCAGCAGCAGCAGCAGCAGCAGCGCGCACGCGCACACACACACACACACACACACAATTATATTTTAAAACAAGAAAAGCTAGATATCTTAACTAGCTCATCCATCAGGGTGATCTCTGCCTTTCATTTCTTTGAACAGGCTATTTTATAACTCTGTAGAGATAGAAATTACCTTGTAGAAAACTGATAGTAACGCACATAATTCCTATCCCTAGAAGCTTACATTCTGCCAGTAGAAGTTGATCTGATTTCTTTCCACCTCTACAGGAGAAGCCAGTTTTCCATCTATGAAGCAAATACATTTTTGCATTCCTAATAGGCTATAAATATATCTGCTCTTTGGACTTTCCTTTGAACCAGCTGTTAATGCCTTTCTGGTTCTCTCATTCATTAATGAGTTAAATGAAATGATTGATATACCGGGCTTGGTGACACACACCTGTCATCCCAGTGACTCAGGAGGCTGAGGCAGGAGGATCACAAGTTCAGGGACAGCCTCAGCAACTTAGCAAGGCCCTAAGCACCTTAGCAAGACCCTGTCTTGAAATAAAAAATAAAAAGGGCTGGGGATGTAGCACAATTTTGGTTAAGTGCCCCCTGGGTTCAATTCTTAGTACCCAATTTCCCCCAGAGGGTCAATATATGTTCATTTTATATTCATGTGACAGCCATGATTTTATGCTCTTAAAATGTATCCTGAAACCCTCCTTGTGATTAACACTTACATATAGCAACAGGATCTTTGCTCAATCGATGCTTTCTAGTCAACCAAGGACTGACAGGGTTTATCCACAACATTTTCCTTCAGTTTTAAGAACAAACACCTTCACAAACTAAAGGATAATTTTTAAAAGAACTGAACGTATTTAATTATACATTCATCCATTTGAAAGAGGTCAGTGACTATCTCTAATATGCATAGGTCTAAGCAAGGCCCCCCCTTCCTGGGCATGCCATCTGTCTGCAATGTGGGTGTGCCCATAGGCCACACCCCTTAAAGGGTCCCATGGTGAGTTTAATGCTCTGCTGTTACTGCCTTGAAATTCTCAATAGTTTTTTTTTCCTAATAAAGAGCCTGCATTTTCATTTTGCACTGGGGTTCCCCAAATTATGTAACTAATTCTGACCCCGGATGGTAGAAAATAAACGCTAAAACTGACTTCTGCCCTTCAGGAAAGCACTGTCTAAAAAAAGGAGATAAAAATATGTAAACATGATTGATATGTAATAAGATATGCAGGTCACAATGCTGATGGGACATAAAATGATTGATAGTATCAATGATAATGGAGGGATCAGAAAGATGGAAGTTTCCTGAGGGGGACCATTGGGGGAGGCCTGCAATGGAGTAAGACTTCTAGGGCTTGTAGTATGCATAGGAAATTCCAGGCTCAAAGCAAGGCAGGGAGAGCAAGATGATAAAAGCAAAGAAGCAGAACCAGGAAGTATAAGCCACATGAAAGCCAGGGGGCAGTGTCCTAAATGACAGGCCAGTGGAGTAGAAGAATAGATTGGGCTCAGATTAAAGATGGCTTGATAAGTCCAGTTAAGCAGTTTGGACTGCATCCTGTGGGCAATACAGAACTACTAGAAGTGCTTTTGTTGTGAATTGGTTGGCTTTTATTTTTGCATAATGGTCTGATCATTCTTATAGACGCAAGGTCCCTGTAGTGTTCTTAGGAAGGGCCTGCAGGGCAATGGGATGGCTCAAAGCTAATTATGCTGGCAGAAAGATAAAAATAAAGCTAACAAGAGTCACCTCACAGTTTAGATACTAATTGAGCATCTAGTATATGCCAAGCACAGGTTTTGAAAAGGCCCTACCTTCATGGCATTTACAACTTAACTGGAGGTATTAATTAGGCTATGTGAGGAAAAATAGAGGTGCACACAGGAGGGTCCCTAACTCACAGTAGATGGTAGGAAAGGCCTACTAGAAAGAGTGACACATCTAATCTGAGCACTGGGGATTGGGGAGGTATGTGTTAGGTATACCCAATGCTGTTGGTGCCCAGACCAGATCCACTTTACCTTGCTTTGCACCGTCTCCCAGTTCTTGTGAGAACTGGCTTCTACTAAAGCTCACAGCTGCCCCCTTCTTGGGAGATTTGCCCACAGCCAAATGGAAGGCTATGTTCTGCACCCATCCCACAACTGATTTTAATCATATAGGGGCACAAAAAGGTCATCTCCATTGCCTCAAGACAAAACTAGAGTTTTGATATAATCTGTGCTTCTTAACTTCCCATGGGATCAGGGAGAAGCTGGTCTCCCGGTGGGCCATGCTCCCCCCCCCCGCCCCCCGGCTTTTCTCCTTTTCCCTGTCCTACTTCCCTGCTGCTTCTAGGTTCCTCCCAAGAGCAGGCTCTGCATCCAGATGTCCAGCAAAGAGCATGTAGTGAGGTGTTCCAGCCATGGCCAAACTAGGTGATTCTCTGTAACCTGGGGGGGGGGGCGGTTCAGTATGGCACAGAAAGCCCTTTGTGATCCAGTCCTGCTCTCTTCCCCTCCTCTCCTCCACTCTCTGCTTGAGGCTTTTCATTTCAGTACAAACCAAACTACCCACAGCATTTCCGTGACTCTGTATGCCAGCGTTGTTCACTCTTGGAACTAGCTTCCCTTCTTTCTCGGCCTAACTTACTGCAGGCATAACCTCTTCCAGGAAGCCTTTTCTGAGCCTGGAGACAGCACCAGGAATCCCTCCCATCGCTCCCTATACAAATCTTAGCACATACAGAATAGGACTAAAATGATCTATTTCTACATGTACTCCCCTAACAGTACAAATCACCCAAGGACAGGAACTGTATCTTACTCATTTCTGGTCCCATCATCTGTGGCATGGTGTTTTGGCACATGGCAAGGGATCCATAAATGTGGGTTAACCCCATGATGCCTCATTTCTCACCCCAGCAGAGGCTGACAGAGCTGAGTCGTAGATGAGAGATGTATAAGAAAGAAGGGCTGAGTCGGTGTAATTGCTATACCAGGCCATTACCCCCAGACAGCTTAAGAGGTATTGATCCTATGTTTCCAGCCAGAGAAATGAAAGGACCTGGATCACAGAATGGTACATTGAAGGAACCTTGAAAAACTTCTAAATTTATTGGCTCTTAACCTGACCTAATGGAATCCATGATAAGGCTACTTAATCTAAAAGGAAGGGCTGGGCACCATGGTGCATGCCTGTAATGGCAGTGGCTGGGGAGGCTGAGGAAGGAGGATTGTGAGTTCAAAGCCAGCCTCAGCAAATTAGTGAGGCCCCAAGCAATTTAGTAAGACCCTGTCTCAAAATAAAATACAAAATGGGCTGGGGATGTGGCTTACTGGTAAAGTGCCCCCTGGATTCAATTCCTGGTTCAAAAAAGAAAGAAAAAAAAAGAAGGAATGTTGAGTTTGATTTTTGGTAGGAACCATGTAAGTTCTTCATGGGAACACTAATTAGTGTGAATTGATCAGAAACCAAATTCAGCAACAATTATGTCTTTGCCAAATACAACTGGGGAAAGGACCTGGTTATCACTTAATAAAGATGGTTTGAGAAACAATCTTTGTAAACATGGGATCCAGCAGAGACTTGTGACAACTGCATTTAGGGCATGTTGTTTCAACACACGGGATAATCAGCACTCGGGTCTATTCTGGGATGTATAATGTTGCTGAGGCACTACAAAGCTTAGTGACCAGCCTGTGTTTCAAAAGCTGTGTTCTTTATTAATAAAGTCATCTACTTGGGCTTGGGGGATATACCTCAATGGGAGAGTGCTTATCAAGCCTACATGAGGTCCTGAGTTCAATTCTCAGAATCACACACACACACACACATGCACGTGCATTCACACACACACACACACACACACACACACACACACACACACGTACCCACTTTCAAAGTCACCTACCCCAGAGCCTTCATGAAATGAATTTTTAGAAAATGCCCGCACCTGTGTTTCACTCACAGAGTACAGGAAATGCAATGTCAGTGTCACCACAGTAATGATGTAACCTGATGCAGTTGGGAGTTTATTTTAGCCTCAGCATTTGTTTTAATGATTTTGCAAATGGCTTTCGTCCTATATTTCAGAGTCATCAAAGCTGTGAAAGGGTCATATAACCTTCCTGCAATACTTTATTGCATTTAGTGAGAAAAAGCTCTATGCCGCTGTAGGTATTTACAAATGTGGGTGTTTGCAAAGCATCAGGGACATATCCCTCAGAAATGGCAAGGGTCCAAGGAGAGAAGGGGCCCATGGTGATAAAAAGATTGAGTTTCACAACTTCTTCTTAACAAATTCATTTCACAGATGAAACAGAATGACTTTTTCAAGGTCACCTAGCTGGTTAGTGTTGGAGCTACAGTTAGAACTCAGAGTTATTAACCTGGAGTCAAGAACTATTTCTACATTGCATAAATGATAACTAGGGCTGTCACCTGTAGAGGTGAGTTGAAGGAAAGTCAATAACAAACAAAGGGAACGATAACGTAGCATTAATGAAGTTCCACCTTGTGGATTATCTCTGGCAGGTTTTTCATCACAGAATTTGTCTGCTGCTCCAAACCATCTGTGCTATTCATAAATCTACTATGAAATTTTTTTTTCCTCAAACAAATGAAATTATTTTTCTAGCTATTTCCTATTTGAGAATTTGGGGGGAGTTGACTGTTGCCAACTTCAGCTAGACCTTGATCATCTTTGACTTGCACTTATCAGATTTCTAATCACTCTTGAGGCTGTTTGTAGAGCATCTCTTAAAAGGAAGAGCAATGCCCTGTGGGTGGGAGTGGGGATTGGCAGAAATAATGGGCCCCATTTTATTTTTGTTTTTTTCATTTGTGAACTGATTTGTTTTGGGCAGTGAGTACAGGGATTAAATGACTTTGCATTGAAAACTATGCTTAATCTTCTCAAGATACCTAATATAAATGATAAAGGAGGATAAATAAGGTCCCCAATGTGATGAATCCTATGCTGTTCTGCTATGGTCCATGATTTGCAGAGACAGATGGTATCTGGTACAGAAAGGATGGAATAACTACCCTTCAAGACACCTGTATCAATTAACTGGCTCACTCACTCATTTTAGTAGATTATCTTCCCACTCTATTAAAGGCTGTTACTAGCACATTGAGTCCTTTTAAAAATATTTTGTATTTAATTTGGGTCATCTCCAAAATTCAAGGATCCTGGGATGGTTGGAGGAGATCCAGAGACCATCATTGAGAATGATTAAGGGGAATGGGAAATGGAGGTATTGAGCATAACAAGAAGAAATATAATTTCCAGGGTTGTAAATAACTGTTATGCTTTTTTTCCCAAAAAGGTCACAGTGAGAAGAAATAGGCACAAATTAGAGTTGGCAGGAGTTAGCATGGACATAATGTACAATGTCCTGGTACTGATATAAGCACACACTTTGAATTTCCTTCCATAGGTAAATGTTGCAGGCAGAGGAAATATGGCAATATGTTGTGACTTATTTTTCATCAACTCAAGCTATATCAAGGAAAAATGGAATTACAGTTGAATTAAAGAAAGAAAATAAAGGGGGAAAGGAGGTAACAATCAGGTAACAACGTAAAGGGAAAGCAAATATAGTCTAAAGCTGTGCCCGGGATTGAAATATAGCCTTGAAAATTAAATGCACTTGTAATCTAAAAATTTTGTGTATTTTATTCTCTTCCCTGGTCAACTTACCAAAATTAATTGATTTATTTGAACTTAACTTACTTCAATTTGCCCTATCTCCCAAGGCCTAATTAGAAGTGTAATGGGATTTTTAAAAGGTGGTTAGAGGAGGTAGGTAATGGGATCTGAAAAGTTTATAGACTCAATTCCACAGCATTCAATAGGGATGGCTTTTCATTTCTTAAGACTTTTTATTAGGTACTACTAGACTCCTCATTTGAAAAAGAATTCTAAAACATGCATCTTAAAGATTCACACAAATTGACTGAGGGTACTGTTAAAATGCATATTCTGATTCAGTGGGGTGGAGACTGAGATTCTGGATTTCTAACAAGCTTTCAGTTGTCCATGCTACTAGGCCAGGGCCACAGTATGAGCTGCCAGGCTCTAGATCTGCATGTTTAATGTAGCTAGTGAGTTTTTGTTTTGTTTTGGTGCCAGGGATCGAACCCAGGGGCACTTAAACACTGAATCACATTCCCAGCCCTTTTTATTTTTTATTTTGAGACAGAGTCAGTAAGTTGTTTAGGGCTTTGCTAAATTGCTGAGGCTGGCTTTGAACTGGTGATCATCCTGCCTCAGCCTCCTGAGCCACTGGGGTTATAGGTGTGTACCAGTGCACCCAGTTGCCATTGAGTTTTTGAAATGTGGCTGGTCTGAATTAACATGTGATGTAAATGTAAAATAGACACTGGATTTTAAAGATTCAATATTTTTAAAAATGTAAATTATCTCAATTTTTAAATCGGTTGCCTGTTGAAATGATAACACTTGGGGCATATTGGATTATATGATATATACCATTAAAATTAATTGTACTCATTTTTTTCTACATTTTTATATAGGGCTACTAATTTTTCTTTTTTTTAGTGGCACTGGTGATTGAACCCAGAACCTTCAGCTAGTTAAGCATGTACTTTACCATTGAGTTACAATCAAATCCCCTGAAAATGTAAATTACATGTGTGGCTCATAGTATACTCCTATTGGACAGTGCTAGTTTAAAGAAATACGCATTATAATTATTTGGGGGGGGGTACAGGGGATTGAACCCAGGGCACTCAACCACTGAGCCACATCCCCAGCCTCTTTTGTATTTTATTTAGAGACAGGGGCTCACTGAGTTGTTTAGTGCCTTGCTTTTGCTGAGGCTGGCTTTGAACTCGTGATCCTCTTGCCTCAGTCTCCTGAGCTGTTGGGATACAGGCAGGCACCATCAAGCCTGGTTCATTATAATTTTTTTTTAATACAGAATTATTTCCAGACTTCTTTTAGAGATGAAGACAATTTTGGTTTTGAAAAATTTCATCTTTGCCTTTTTTATCTTACATAATAATGACCTAATGAGCAATACCCTCACGTCTCAGAAAAGGAATTTCCCTCTGGCTACACTAGATGAAAAGCCATGTGTTCAGACAACAGTGTGTTCGAGACCTGGAGCACCGTGGCACCAGTGGACCAACTCATTCTCTCTCTCGATAGTCTCGCCGAGCTCAGGTGGCCAGTTGCAATTCTGTTCCTGTTCCATGAGGAAGTCCACACTCTGCCACACCAGCTCCCGATCTGCGGGCTTGAGGTGCTCATGGTAAGAAAGAAGCATCTGCAGAATGGATGACAGGCCATGAGCTGCCCCTGTGTGGACAAACAAAGTACAATTTATCTATATAATAGGGAGGAGAGGACACACACCCACACACACACACAGACACATACACGTAATATTACTTGAAAGAACATACAGTACTGTAACAACTGAGTTGCTGAATAACTAGGCTGCTGACAAACTGTGGTCTGCAGGCCAAATCTAGCCCACTGCCTGTTTTTATAAATAAAGTTTTATTGTAACACAGCCAGAGCCATTCACTTCATATTGTCTATGGCTATTTTTGTGTTAGGACAGCAGAGTTGTATTTGACAGAGATCATATGACCCCCAAAGCCTAAAATATTTACTATCCAGTTCTTCATAGAAAAAGTTTGTTGTTTGCAGCGGTAGCAACAAATCCCATCATTCTGTACCACTATAATGCACCAATAAAAAATTTCTGAAAAAGAATAAAAATTGTTGACTATCTTACTTCAGAGATTTTTTTAAAAACTGCAATTAACATATCAATAGCCTTTACAAAAATACTCCTAAAGTACTTGACCACAATTTGGTCTAGGTATCCTGAACATTCATTTATTCATTACCTAAGTATTAAGCATCTACTATGCACCAGACACTATTCTAGGTGCTGAGAATAAATCAGTGAATAAAACAGTATAAATCTTTTTTTTGGTAGGCATTATTAATTAGCCTTAACTTTTTAAATTCTTTACATTTTATACTTGTGTATTAAGCAATGTCTTGTCCTGGGATAGAGAGATGGATATGTTTGTCCCTACCCTTGAAGACCTCCTCATCTAATCCAATGAGAGAATCAGGTTTGCAAATAATTAGAACATGAGGTGTTAAGTGCTCTATGATAGGTGTGTATCAGGAGTGTGATGATTAATATTATGTGGCAACTTAACTGGGTCACATGTTGGCCCAATATTTGGTTAAAAATTATTTCTGGGTGTGTCTGTGAGAGTGTTTTTGAATGAAAACCACATTTGAATCTATAGATCAAGTAAAGCAGATTTCCCTCTTCAGTGTGGGTGGGCCTCATCCAATTCACTGAAGGCCGGAATGGAACATTAAGGCTGACAAAGAATTCTCCAGCTGGGACATTAATCTTTTCCCTTTGGACGTAGACTATAATTTACAACACTGCCTTTTTCAGCTTCCATAACCTCTTGAGCCAATTCCTTTCCACAAATTATTAAAAGGAATTAGCTCAAGTGATATATACAATCCATTTCTCGGGAGAACTTTGACTAACACAAGGAGCTAAAAGGGAACCCAGGAAGGAGAGCTTAATGTGGCCTCAGGGTTGGAGGGGGAGCTGAAGGTTTTGCACAGATGGTGTCATCTGAACAAAATCTTGAATTCCTGACAGTTCTAACAGAGGATACTGAATTAGCAAAGGCCTGAACCCATGTTTGGAAAAGGATTTAGCTTAACAAAGGGAGAAGGCAGCCCAGTCCCTGTAGGAGTTTTCACTCATTCTGAATTCATAGAGTCTTAATTAGTGGTACTGGGGTTAATATATTCCAAGAACTTGCTATTAAAACTCAACTCTCTAATTTTAAAACTTTTTCTTTGTATTCAGGCATCTTCCACTTTACATACTTGGAACTTTCCAGAAACAGCCCCCCACCCCCGGCAGTGCTGAGAATTGAACCCAGGGCCTTGTGCATGCCAGGCAAGCACTCTACCAACTGAGCTTTATCCCCAGCCCCAGAAACATTCTTATAGTTGTATCTTGTCAAAAATTCTGTTGCTCTTAAAATTTGGTCATGCTGTGGTGGTGCATGCCTGTAATCCCAGTGGTTCAGGAGGCTGAGGCAGGAGGATTGTGAGTTCAAAGTCAGTCTCAACAAATTAGCAAGGCCCTAAGCAATTCAGTGAGACCCAATCTCTAAATAAGAAAATAAGCATGTAAATTAAAAATAAAAAGGTCTGGGGATGTGGCTCAGTGGTTAAGCGCCCCTGGGTTCAATCCCTGGTAGCAAAACAAAACAAAATAAAACAAAAATATTTGGTCATGAAGTTTCAAAGTACCTTTCTTTCTCTGGATTTGGAATTGTTACGAAAAAGTTTCCTTTTTGGGAAAATGATTATGCATTCGATGGGAATCTGGTTTGTGCTCTCTATGTCAAGGGCCAGAATGCTAATTTCTCTAAAAAACAAAAATCTCAAAACTGAAAGGAATAGCTCTATCAGGGGACTAGAACAGACAATGCCAGTGACTCTCCATTCAAGTGCACCTGCCTCCCCTTCCTACTTGATACACCTATCATTCTGCCTGAGACCTTCTCTGGCCACAGGGGTATGCCCAGCTCACGGGGAACAGGGCAGAAATACTAGGGAATTAACACATTTGGAGCAACTGACAATAAAGTAGGGAGTTGGTAGATGAATAGCAGTTTCCTCAACTCTGCAGTGAGACAATTTCAGAGGCCTGGTCTATACAGTCTCTAAGAATCCCCAAGGGAACTGAGCCTCAGTTGTCCACAGTTGCTCATTATTACACACTCAGTTGCTTCTTTCTCTCCACTGTCTCATTTCCTCACTTGTCTATCTATGCTTTCTGGAATCATCTTTCAAATAAATCTTTTATACTCAAATCCTTGTGTCTTGGGGTCTCATTGCAGGCAAACTTAGGAACTTAAAGGTTTTCTTGAGGCATCTCTCATTAAAGTGGTTCATTAGTCATTCATTTATTCATTTGGGTATCCTTGGTATGCGCAGGCTCTGTGGCAGAGGTCTAGGGATCACAAAAATAAACAAAAGTAAGTCCCTATCCAAAAAAGGCACAAAGCCCGTTAAGGCAGTTGGACTGGTAAGCCACTAATTAAGTGTAATGTGATGAGGCTCTCCAATAAAAGTGTGGGCAGGGTGACATGATGTTACCCAGTTTGCCTTAGGGGAAAACCTGAAAGACGTGAATGTTTTTCCAGAATGTTTTTCAACACCCCTTTCTCCTGAAGCAGAGAAAATACCTCAGGAGATCTCATGACGTTGGTGCAGAGTCTTGAAGTCTGGTTATTACAGATAGATGAAGAGGTTGGAGGAAGTGGAGTGTTCTAGGTAAAAGGAACACGTAAAAGGTATAAAAATATGAGGACACTTTGTATGTGAGAGACTATGATGCACAGAACCTGGAGGGAAGAGATAAAGCTTGAGTCTGGAGAAAGAGGCTGGTGGTCTACCTTACAAATCTTGCTCAGGAGTGCAAGAACTCTAAAGGGGAGTAACTAATTTACTCCTTAGGTGGCTCAGAGCTCAAAATTACTCCCTGCAATTCAGTAGTCTGTTATTAATCAATGAGTACTAAAAATTTCAAATTATATAAATATATTACACAAGTGTACATATCAACACACACATAAATTTACTTATTAACAAATCAAATAAGCAAAGAATAAAATTAAGTCAATTCACTGTAATTTTTTTTTAATTTTTTTTTAAAGAGAGAGTGAGAGAGGAGAGAGAGAGAGAGAGAGAGAGAGAGAGAATTTTTTAATATTTATTTTTTAGTTCTCGGCGGACACAACATCTTTGTT